CTTCCTTACCTTATGAAGAAATGAGACCGTACTTTTAATAGCTAAAAATCAAACAATAAAACATGACACAAACCAAATCATTCTCTGTATCTATGTAAATTTAAAAAGTGAAGCTCATCTTAAAATTAAAGAGAAAAGAAAAAAGGCAACAAAAATCAGTTTTACACAGCTTGCTAAGAATTGCTGTGGGGGGGATCACAGAACTGATTGCTGCCACAACCATCCTGAGCCATCCTCTCATTTGCAGCTGCTTTGTATTCCAAACAAACAGCAAAAGCAGAAATATCAACTCCATTTTCCAATATCAGAATTTTACTTACACTGCACAGGTAATACTCATCCTAGCAGATTAGGGAGGGGTATACTTCATGAATCTGGCTGTAACTTAAAACACACATTCTAGAAATTACATACTTCTGAGAATGATATGCCCACGTTGAATACTTCTCAGATTTTATGCCTCTGGTTTACATATATGAGAAGCAATCTCTCATTCTATGTTTCCCTGCACCTTGAATTTCTGTAGCTAGACAGGCTCCATTTACTTTAGTGCAGCATTAAGCAATGCACTGTCATACAAAATGGCCAACAACTCAAACACAGTCAAACTCAAAAATGTAACATCAGCACTGCAATCTTCTCTCCAGGCAGCCACTACAGTAAACTGTATTTAAGGAACCAAGAATATAATAGTTTTGATACCTTAGTAGGATCACTGCAAAAATAAGTGCATCCATGCAAGGGCTTCAGTAATTGTTTATTCAGAATTAATTCTCCACCATGAAAATATAATAATTATACAGTCAGGAACACATCTTCATCAAGTACAGGGGTAGATTAGAATAAATACAATGTACTGATTTGAATGAAAGACCAGAATTGTTGCCACCTCCTCCAATATTTCAAGTAAGTCTATAAAAAACTTGGGAGAAAGCAGAAGTGTTAGCTCTGTAAGAATGTACTAATTTTCCTTAAGCTCTTTTCTCCATACAACTCATAGAAGACCAGTGAAGATAAATTACTCTTTCCTGCCTCTGCACGCTTGCCATTTTATTTTTTGGATGCTGAATAAAGTCAGGAAGAAATAATGCAATGCCATTCTATCTCGTACTCTAAAGGGGTCTAAAACATACTCAAATTTCATTATAAAATCAAGTCAAGTAAACATGTGGCTCATGATCATATCCTAGAATCAAAGAATGGTTTGGGTTGAAAGAGACCTTAAAGATGATTCAGTTCCAGCCCCCTGCAGGGACATCTTCCATTAAAACAGGTTGCCCAGGGCCCCATACAGCCTGATCTTGAGCACTTGTGAGATGTGGTGTCTGCAACTTTCTTTGGGCAGCCTATTCCAGTGCCTCGTCACCCTATCAATAAAGAATTAATTCCTAATATTTAATCTAAATCTACTGTCAGTTTAAAGCCACTCCCCCTTGTCCTGTCACCACATGCCCTTGTAAAAAGTCCCTCTCCAGTTTTCTAGTAGCCCCTTTAAGTACTGGGAGGTGCTATGAGGTCTTTCTAGAGCCTTCTCCAGGTTCAACAGACCCAACTCTCAGTTTGTCTCCATAGCAGAGGTTCTCCAGCCCTCTGAGCAACTTTGTGGCCTGCCCTGATCCTGCTCCAACAGGTCCATGCTCTTCCAGCTCTGAGGACCTCAGACCTGGGCACAGTACTCCAGTCAGGATCTCACAACAGCAGAGTGGCAGAATCACCTCCCTCAACCTGCTGGTTCCAGACAAGTTTTGCCAAGTATGCACTTTGTAAAGCGCCCCCCAGTATTTTCACATAATCCTAAAGGTGCAAGTACCTTGAATTATAGAATTATGGAATTGTTCAGATGGGTAAGGACAGTCACAGCTCTCTTGCCCAGGTCCCTGAAGGAGATACAGGAATCTATTCAATAGACTCCAAAAACTTCCAAGGACGGATATTTAACCCCGTTTGTGTAACTTGCTCAAATGCCTCTTATCTTCACCATGAACAATCCCTCCTGGTTTACTCAGCCACAACCTCCCCATTTCAGTCGATGACCGCTGTCTGTCTTGCAGCACACGCGTTAGCAAACAGATTGGTCCTTTTTGTCAGTAACCTCCTCACAGCTGCCAGGAGTCTGCCCATTAGCCTGGGCTTCCTGAGGTCTTCCAGAAGAGGCAAACAGACTCAGTGCCTGGTGAAGAAGAGCATGGAAAGATCTATCTCTTCTGCCCCATCTGTATCTGTGTACCAGTGGAAGCTTCCCCAGTTAGAGATGACATGGCACAGAGCTCACTGCCCTGCAGCTGCTGCAGTCACCACAGCAGCTGTCAGAGGGCTCTGGACAGCCAGGCCTGCCCAGGGCAGAGGCAGCTGTGCAGGTCACAGGCTGACAGGAGTGCCTGATGCCTCTGCGAGGCTGGCACTGACAAACAGCTCTTTTGCAGGTTTGTGCTTGAGGAGCTGTCACCAGGTGAAGGGGCTACAGGAGGAAGTGAAAGTATTTGAGTGAAAAAGCAAGACAGGTTATTTACAGAGATGCCACAGTCTCAAGACTCTCAGGAGTCTCAAACCTCCACTGTAGTGAAGAAGCAGGTGGACTGAGAACACTGCAGGGTAATTAGTCAAGGTCTTTTACTCAAGAGTCTGTTCAAGATGAAGGCTGGAAGCAGGTCACTCTACATACCAGGAGGAGGTTCCTCCTTCTGAAAACAAGTAGGACTGGAACTTTCTACAACAGGTATGAGGCTCTGGAACACAGCCAGACAATTGATGAGGCGGGCAGAGGTCCTACTGGGCCAGAGAAGCCTCCTGAAGGAAAACCTCCTGTACCCCACATCACCTCCTGTTAGGAGAAGGGGAGCTGTAATAGCAGACTCCCTTCAAGGGGAGGGAGATGAGGGAGGGCCTGATACGCAGACCAGACCCAACTCACAGGGAATTCTGCTGGTTCCCAGGGGCATGGAAAAGGGAAATTACTGGAAAACTCTCCTATAAGGCCCTCTTACTTAGACTACTATCCACTAGTGGTTGTTCAAGCCAGCAGTGATGAAAAAACAGAATTACGAGGACAGTCAAAAGAGACTTCAGGGACTTGGGTTAAAGGGTGAAGAATCAGAACATGTGGAGCAATTTCCACAATCCTTTTGGTAACAAGGAATAACATTGACAGGAATAGGCAGATCCACCAGGTCAATACATGGCTCCAAGGCTGGTATAAGCAAAAAAAATTCGTTTTTTTACCATGGGATGATAGTTCAACACCTGCTCTATTGACACCTGATGAGAAGCACCAGTCTCAGAGGAGAAAAAGAGCTCTAGCACAGGAGCCAGCAGGGCTCATAAACAGAACTTTAAACCAGCTTGGGAAGAGGGAAGGGACAAAACCAGCCTTGCCAGTGGGATGGTAGGCCAGAACTTGAGAAAACTAATGGGAACCCTCTGTCTTCTTCAGGTTTGCTGATTGCAAAGCACATCTGAAATGTCTCTACGCTAATGCACACGGCATGAGGAACAAGACCATCTCAAGGCTTTGGCCCAATCCCAGAGATTTGGTATCACTGGAATAAATGAAACTGTGTGGGTTTAGTCCTGTGACTGGAGTGCCCTGTTGGATGGTTTCAGGCTCCTCAGGAGGGACGGGCAGGGCAGAAGTGGGCGGGGAGGCACCGTAAGTCACAGGAGGGATGTAATGCATGGAGCCTGGCATGGCACAACTGCAAGCCTCTAAATAAGAATCAAGGGATAAACAAATAATGCAATGTCTCCTTGGGAGTCCATTACAGACCTCCTAGCCAGGACAATGACATTGACAAATGGTTCTCTGAGGAACTAAGGGACACTTCCACCTCAACTGCCCTTCTCCTTATGCAGGATTCAACTTGCCAGAAGTCAGCTGGGAACATCATGCAGCTGATGGGTCCCTTCCAACTCAGCATTTTTTATGGTTCCATGATTCTATAAGGTGTATTTCCTACAAATCTTACCTAGCTTCCATATTTTAAAGAAACCTGCAAGTTTAATATGGTGCTGCAACTGAAAACAAATTACGCTGCAAAGTAAAAACTTACACTGTAATAAGGTTTTATTGAGGAACTGCTATTCCGTAAAAAAGTGCAGAAAATGCTGAATGTTGTTCTCTGAGTAGTCTCAATAGCTTTTGCAGCCACGTAACATCAAACAACAAAAAATACCCCAAAACAACAAAAAAGAAATGCAGCTGAACTCTAAAAAGTGATTTTTTTTGAAGAGTTGCCAAAAAATTTCAAGGTCCTGGAGAAAAAAAGAACAGGAGAGGAAAAAAAGGTTAATTTGAGTGACTGAAAAATCTCGTTCTTCTTTCTCCCTCTCATCCCCAATAAATGCTTCCAATATCTAAACAAGTTTAAGTGCTCTAGTCCCAGGGAAATGCGGGAGGGGATGGAGGGCAGGGAGACCCAACAAAACACAGGTCTACAACGCTGTAGAAACATTACTGTATTACATCCCAAAATTCTTTTTCTACTTAATTCCTATATATTGGGAAGACTTGTGTCTCTTTAGTTTATTATAATAATTATAATAAAATAAATAAATTTATAAATTATTTTTAAATTCATTTTAAATTAATAACATAGAATTCATATTTAGAGACTTATTCTATACCTGGAAATTCAAGAGTGTGTAAGAACCAGTAAACTGGAATTAAGATTATAGGTTTATAAAGACACAGCTTACTGGGTTTTGTAAGCTCATGTCCAAAGACACTCAAACTCTTTAGGAAAGGAATGAAAGAACTATTTTCCTGCCAATATAATATACTACATATAAATTTTTCACTTTTCTAATTATTAAAGTGTAAGTTCTAATAGCTTCTCATGTTCAGCTACTGTGGTTTCACTGGAAAATAAATGAAACACATTTTATTGTATCTATTAATTACCTAACACACATTTAAGAAATAAAACATAGCTAGGAAGAAAACAATATTTTTAACTTAATGACAATTTTAAGTGCGTAGAGACACTAAAACATTACCACAAGTATCAGTTCAAACAGTTTATTAAAATATTATTTTATAGTTATACAAAATATATTTCAACTTTTCCAGAAGAAAAATCAGAACAACAGATAAAAAAATTCTGTAATTGGTAGCTAAAAATATTAACAGAACATTCAAAATTTTCTCCTCATCCAAACTGTGCTTATTCTTGTTCTGTGCACACACAGTAATCCTTTAAAAAATAATTAATAATAATACAGAAATATCTTCCTGAGAGTATCTAACAAATTGTAATCTTTTTCAGAATCAGGAAGCAATAGTTTTACATATATTATTCCACATTTATCTTCAATATTATACCATATTCATACAGAGATACTTATTGATCTTCATCTCTGTCATTCCTATTTTGAAAATTCAGTGTTCTTTGGTCTCTTGGAGGGTCTGGCATGCGTAGGATTCGAATATGGGGACTCGTAGGCAGAGAACTAAAAATAAAGGATGCATCATTTAAACAATGTTTCTTCTCCAAGAATTTTAGTATTTCCATTTGATTCTTTACATTACATACTTTCCTTTAAATAACACCAACTTTTTTCTTTGACAGTTTTAAAAAACAGTAACATTGGGTGAAGTTCAGGCTTCACTGAACTGATCCTGGACCCGATATCAATAAAAGCTTGAGGTAAAGACAAGCACTCATTTCAATCATGTGAATTCTAATAATCAGAGTACCTTAACTAGAAAAACGGTTCTTTTACAAAAACCTCCAAATGAACAAATGATGGAATACAAGTCAGGATTTGCCTTACAGATCCTGAAGTAGCACAGACTGTACACACATGTAATCAGTCACAACATACTAAGAATGAGCAATGTTACTAAATATAAATTTACACAGGCATCTCCATTGATTATTCTAAATGGATTTCTCCTGAATTTTCCTCCATATTTTTGTTAAATTTAATGTTTGCTTAACATGAATCATGGAACAATATAACAAATTCAAACTGTACTTGAATTATTAATTTTTTCAACAGTAACCATATAAAAAATTCCTGTGTGTTTATTAGTTTCAGAAAATCTCCACAAAAACATTTCCACTGGAATAGCAACAGATACCACTACCCTACTTTTTGTGTACTTTAGTGAGGGAAGACAATTAGCAATAAATCAACCTTTTGAAGATTGCTTTGATTACCCTCTCAGGCTTTACTGGTTACACTGGACTGAGTTGGCTGCACAAGGTTAGAGACATGATATGTCCCCTTAAGCTGGCAATGGCTCTAACTTTTTATATAAAGGTTTTGAAAGAATTTTGAACCACTAGATCAAAAATTTAAAGCATGGTGTAAGCTATGAGTCTCTGGATCAGCAACAGTAAAACCCAGAAAACAAAACTGATAGAAATGACAAACCCTTTGAAAGTAGTGTAGCATTAACAGAGAAGATCCCAAGTCTTGCTGTTTTTGGGAGGGGAGAGGGACATACAAAGCTATGCTAAGAAGAGCCTGTTTGACAAAATAAAACATTTCTAAAAATTGTTTTATTCCAGATGAACTGATTCAAGTCCCACTGAATTACCATTATATAAGGAAGAGTAAAAAAAACCTATTATAAAAACCCTTTAAATTCACAGAACCATCAGCAATGAACTGCTTAATTGTTCATGTTCTACTGCTACAAACAGCAAAATTTCTTTCTCCTCATATTCAAGTTTTTCAAGTTACACTCCTTGCAAGAGAACTCCCTGGCAATTCTTGTATCCTGAAAAAAAACCACAACAGTATTACCTCATGGTCAGGGGGGTGAACAAAATGAACTGTCGATGTCGCTGAAAGTCAGCTCTCTCCAGAATCATATCGATGGCAATTCTTCTGTTAAGCATATCCTAAAGACAAAAGATCTGTCAGGTAGTGGTACTGACATAATAAATACATTAGAAAACATGATTCTAGAAAACCTACCAGAATTAAATGCTATACAGTCAAGGCTGGCTAAAGAAAATATCTAAATAAGACTAACAAAAACTAAGAAAAACTGGAGAAACATTAGGGTTAACATCTAAAAGCTATGAATTATAGCCTGGGAAATTCTTAGACTGTTCTTTTTAGCATACATGGGCAATGGAAAGCTTCAATCAGAAAAATCACACACTCATCTATTTATAGTGTTTTTCTATCATTGATGAACATACAGTACTTCTTTCTTTACTGGTATGCTGAGATTAACTGTACTTTAGCAGAATAATGGTTCCTGTAAAATCCTGCCTGACAAATCACCATGAAACCTGTGATATTATGGAGTTTGATTTTATTAAGATTATTATTGTTATAATCATTATTTTGAATGCAACCTTACACATTTGGCTTACTGAAAAGGATGTGCAATAGGAAGCTGTTATTAGCAGGGACTAACAAAGCTCTGCTGCTGTGCACTGCTCCTCATGAAGGCAGAGATCTCCCACAAAAATACACCGTGGAGTCCTCATGTGGTGGGGCCCCGTGATTACACCTACAGCAAGTGTGGACAGTAAGGCTGCACTTACTGGCATTGCAGAGGAAAGACAAGTTGTGTGGAATAATTTATGGAATAGATAACATGCCAGTTCTTTGCAAGGCCTACAGTTCTGAATACCATCCTTTCCCAGAAAGATGGATAAACTTCTGCACAACTAACTTTTAAAAAGAGAATCAAAGATTTGAAAGTTGGCTGAAAAACTACCTTAGATGCATACTGTCCTTTCTGAAATTCCTTAATATAAACTACATTATCTTTGTTTCCTCTAGGTGATTCCTAGTAAATAAATGATTTATGAGGAAGGGACACTGAGGCAAAATTAAATGAGCCAGTATCAAATCTTTGTCTCACAGAAGTAAATATTTTCTCAAACTCACACCACCCTGCATATTAATAAGCAGGAAATAAATATTAAAAAAAGAAATTTCAAAATGGGTTAGTGGCTTGTCCAGGGAAGTGGTACAAAAAAATATGATTTATCAGTTTTTGCTATAATTAATATTTATTGTTCATTATTCTGCATTTCAACATCTTGGAAACATGCTCCTAGCTGAAGTATGCGTTTCTATAAAATGAGTAGCAACAGTGAACCCAACTGCTACATTTGCTCTGCAAAACCCCAATACTGATCTCAAAATTGGCAGAAATCAAAGCAAAGCCCAGAATTTCCCAGCAATATGCAGAGTCAACCTCCAACAAACACAGTAACAGCTGAATTATTATTTTTGTGCTGAACAAGGGTTTGAGCACATAAATTTACAGAAAGGCTCGTATTTCTGGATACCAACGTCAGAAACAAAATAAGCTTCAAAAGTCACCAAACAAATTCAACAGAATTCAAGAGAATGACTAGGTTGGAAGAGACCTCCAAAATCATTGAGTCCAACCCATGTCCCTACAACACAACTAGACTATGGCACCAAGTGAAAAAGATCACTAACAAATTTCGTTTTGGGGGATTTTGATTTTGGTTTGGGGGCTTTTTATAATTTAAAGTTATCTATAGTGGTTTTAAATCTAACCAAATACAAGTAACAACCCAACTATTTCACTAATTTATACAAATCAGAATAGCACTTGTAGTTTAAGTTAAAACAATACCATGTAGACATCAAATTCATCCATGCATCTGAAAGGAGATTCAGAAATGTTCCACAGAGAAAGAATGAAACAAACTGTGGAGAAGGAACGTTCACCTCCTGATAAAGATCTGAGATCACTACGGGCAGCTTTTTCTTCCTCTCGAGGCTGAACCTTGAAATAAAAATATTGGAGCAATTTTTAAATCTGACGTGAAGACATACTAACAATCATAATTTTAACAGCAAACACATTATACATGAACAGACAGACATCACTTGAAAACAATTTTCTGCATTTCACTGCAACTGCTATTCTGGAATGGGATGGCTCCTAAACATTTAGTAGCACATTTCTAGGATCAGTGCAACTTTTTTTATCACAATCATACACACTGAATTGATTGAACGACTCTGCCAGAGTTTTGTTACTCAAATCTCTATTTTTAATAGCTGTTAAAGAGTGTTTAATAAATGCCATGTTGACATAGCAGTAAAAACCCATGGTTACCAGGTACAATAGAAAAGCAGGGAATTGATTTACAGAATAATTTTAAATGAGGAAGGGATTCTTTACATGGAATACACGAAACATTGTGAACAGCCATTTGGTTACATTGATTATGATGACATCTTGTGGCACTCCTTCTGTAAGATGGAACTTCAGCATTTTCTTGCCCTGCTAATTGCATTGCCTTTAACAAGTTAAGCAGGCAAATAAGGATTATTTTGAAGTGGAATCTTTTTCTGCAGGGAATTGTTTTCTTTTTGCAACTTACGTTCCTTGACTAAATACAGACCTCTTTTGTGAGATACTGGAGACATCAGCTATTACAAAAATATATTCTGATAATGACTTGATATTTTATGGACTGAGTTTAGCTCTTCAGATACATGTGCTTCACCTGTCTAATTAGGACTGTGACATGTATTTATGTTGCCACTGCAAATTTTCCCCCTTAATCCCTAAAACTGAAGTCTCCCACAGAAACAGAAGAAAATAAATCCATGATAAAACTTTTTGGGATGTATGTTAAAAGGTACAGAAAAAAAAAAACACCAACTTACTGAAGCTTTCCTAAATTAAGTTGTTCAAATAACAACTAGAGCCATTATACAGTCACACAAATAACTGCTGAACTTCCTATCAATGAGCCAGGAATGAGTTATTTTGAAAGACTGGATGACCAATCCACATTTATCCCTTCTAATCTAGCAACACGCCCATTTAAAATGGCAATGTTTTCTGTCCTTGCTTGTTTTCAACAACACCCAACTGTTACCAAATGGGATGAAAGAAACTTATCTAACACAAATTTGATGTGACTAAGCAGACAACTCTTCACACAGGCTTTTGGAAACTCCTCCAACGACTCCTGCTCAACAGACAAAATCCAGCCATTTCTACATCCTTTTTCTGCTGAATCATTGCTATGCAAGTTCTTTTACAAACTATGCATAATATGCCCACTCTTAAATTTAACCTTTGCAATGACTGGTTTTGTTACTTATATAACTTCATATTCTTATCCTAAAATAACCATTGGTCATCTCTACTGAGGTCTACTGACTGGAATCATTGATATTCAAACCAAGCTGGGAAGGGCAGGAGGGTTTCCAAAGCAGCATAACTGGTGAGCATGACAGTCTCCATAGTTTCTCAACCATAACATAGAAGTCCAGTGACTTCTTGGTGAGGTTCCTATGGCTGTATATTTCAAGCACAACACTCCTAACATTTCTATACCTTATATTCCACAATTTTCTACTTGTAATCATAATTAACTCTTTTATATGATTAAATTGATAACTTGATCAGAATATTTATAACACTACAACTTAGTGTATCACATTTTGGAGAGGGAAAAACAACTTATTCTATCATTTGCAATGCATTTCTAGCACCCACGACTAAAACAAATAATAACTCATTATGTATTATGGTAATTGAAATAATATAAAATAACTTACTGTTATGGAAAGTGTCTCATTCTTGTGATCAAAAACTATATGTCCAGAGCAACCTCGAAGACGTAATAATTGCTCAAAGTGGAGTTTGCATTGCATAGAAAGGCTCCTTCAATCAAGCAAACAAACATGAGGGGAGCAAGTTTTTAAATACATGAAAAAATGACAACAGATTTTCATCAACAGTTCCACATCGTTAAGTATTAAGCCCTCCTTCAATAACAACATTCTCCCAAAATCACCTGCACTCTCAAGTGGGTGACATTACACATAGTGGACAGAATTCTTTTGAAGGAAGGCAACAACAAAATTTTCATGGGTAGTTATAGGATACTAAGGTACTGATGCAAGAAAGAAGGCATGTACATAGTAATGAAGAAGAAGCTGTCAAATTACAGAATCTGAATCAAGGTCTTCAGCATTTTTCAGTACAGAGCAGAGAAGTGTTTGGCCCACATCAGCACCACTGATTATAATCAATAAAAATGAGTGACAGCCCAGATTATTTCAAGTTCTAGTATGTTGCTGACATTTTACTGACCAAAACCATCACTCAAACAGAACTTCCTTGAATGAAGTCAGCACAGCTGAGGTCTTTGGGATGAAGAAAAATACAGGCTTCACTATCTCACTGCTTTTCCAGCTGTCAGTACAGACTGCCTCTAAACTCTCAGGCATGATAAAATTGAAACTGGGAGCAAGCTTAGGTTAAAAAGATTGTTGTGAACACTGCCTTAATCTCACCTTAGGAATTGCCGATACACTTTGAGCCTTTCTGTCATTACTTCATCCAGCACAGCAATAAATCTCCTTAAATTCTTTACTTTATTGCTTGCATCCTCATATCTTTCCTTTGCATAATGAAATTGCCTGTTTTAATTAACAGAAAGGTTAGGAGTATTATGCATTACATCAAAACCGAGCTATTGTTGTAAATGCTGAAAATCATTTTGATAATCAAAATATTCAAATTAAAACTTTGTTGTGAGGATTTATGTGGAAGCTAAAAGCACCTGATAAGTCAAGTAAGACCCTGTTCACAAATAAAATGTGGACAAAAATTAAATCTTAATTCTACTTTTAATTCTTTTGAAAACAATCTTTCACCAAGGAGAATGAATGACTGTTTTTCCCATGCTCAAAAATATCTGGGGGGAGTGCTTCCTTGAAATACACTGAAGTCAAAACCTCAAGGAGCTGCCAAGCTTGTACATTAGTTACTCAAACTAGAATTACGCTGAATACACAAAAAAGAATTATGCTTAATACAACAAAACAACAGCAAGTTAAATCTGTGTAGTCATAACTGGGATACTTCAAAACACTAAGAGGGTATCTGATTATTGGTAATACCATAAGATGCTGCTTAAAATCACTGCAAGGTATTTCAGGACTCTTAAATCTGTTCAGTACTGGGAGGATCAGCACAACACATTTCTACACCTTCATACATAGCTTAAGTAATAAAAACACACAAAGACATAGTGAGTCAGTAAGAAAACTCTTCTGTCCCCTCTCTTTTCTATCCTACCTAAACTGTTTTAGACAGTAAAGATGACTTACTGGATTATTTCTTCTCTGTTTCCACGGTGACTGCTTTCTGAATTTATCTTCTCTCTCAAGCGATTCATTTCTGCATCAAGACTTTTAACAGTTCTGCTGACCTTGATGCGGTCTGAGAAGATTTGCCTCGCTTTTGCCATTTTTTCCTAAAGGAATGTTTGAAGCTCAAATAATTGTCATATTTTTCAAAAATCTGTTTAGTCTTCACAACAAGTATTTTATGCTACAGAAAAACATGAACTCCAAGCAAGAACAATATTTTTGTGCTCTTTCTGTTTCCATTACAGCAAACCCAGTTAACAATTTTATTGACAACATTTACACATGGGTAGTTACTTCTCAGTGCCAAGAACTGTATCCAAGATTTTTAATACAATCACAGTTATTTAGCTAATGCAGATAAATAAGGAACCAAAATCACCATATTTAAATAGGGCAGTTTTCCAAAAGTCTTTGTGGATGTGATTTCAGAGCTAGTTAATAATGCTTGATTAGGTAAGTCTTCAAAAGATCAGATATGGGGCCTGTACAAGGAAAAACCTACCATCCAAGAAACCAAAACAATATTATTCAATTCAAGTTAGCCACAGATTTTAAGTAATTTTAATCTTCTAATTGCAAAAGACAGAAGAAATGGCTGAACCCTGATTTATCTATCAAGACAGAAATGGTGTCCTATCAGAAAAAATGAGGCCTCGATTCACTTACACAAAATTACTTTACACAGTCAGCATAGGACATAGCTGAGAGAATACTCAGTGTAGCTGAGTATATTAATAAGGTCTGTACATTATACAAGTGGAATGATTTATTACTAAATATTAGAAGAATCATGACCATCTGACTTCAATAGCTAAAAAAAAAAGCCCCCACACACGTACCTCTAATTCCTTTCCTTTGGAAACTAGTAAATCTTTGTGCTTATTTACGCAAGCCACATGTTCTCTCTGCTTGTCTTCATAGTGCTGCAAATGGCGTTTACTGTTCTCCACTTCTGACTCAGCCTGGTTTAATTCAGCCTGTTTGGAAAAAATAACGATGTGAGCTGTTTGGGGTAGATTCCTGAGAATTTCTCTAGTGTTTACTGACTTTTCACAGGTTGTTCTAACTTATTTTGCTTTCAGTAACACTGCTCCTAGAGTCTGGGAGCTTTAACAGCAGCTTACAAGAAAGTCTATGCTTAATTCTGATAAGGAATAAATACATGCAATGATTTTAGGAATTATATCTTGAGGTGATGTTTTCATCTTTAAAAAAAGCTATGTTTTCTCCCGAAGCTCAAAAAACTGTATTTATTTTTTATGCTACATTCTATCTGGAACTTCTGATAACTGTGTGACATCAGCCAGAACTGTATTTCTGTGTGAAAATTCAGTGTCCTGCTATACCTGTAATAAAATCATAGAATCATAGCATAGTTAAGATTAGAATAAACCTTTAAGAACATTAAATTATAACTATCAACCCAAACCCACCACCATATACACCACAAACCGCATCCTCCAGTACAATGTAGCCATAATTTTTTGAACACTTCCATAGATGGTGATTCCACTTGCCTGGGAAGTTTATTCCAATGGTTTACAACCCTCTCCATGAAAATTTCTCTCCCCATATCTAAACTGAACTTCCCCTGGTGCAATTTGAAGCCATTTCCCCTCCTGCTGTCACTTGTTACCAGGGAGAAGAGACTGAGCCACACCTCACCACAACCTCCTTTCAGGTGGTTGTAGGGAGTGGCGAGGTCCCCTTTGAGCCTCCTTTCTCCAGACTAAACAGCCCCAGCTCCCTCAGCTGCTCCTCATAGAACTTGAGCTCCAGACCCTTCACCAGCAACCTCTATACTATATAAGTAGTGGTACTGTTGAAGTGATAGATCTTTCCAGAGAAGCAAAGAGGTATAAAGAATGATATAAATTAGGACATAATTTCCTTCCTCATTCCTGTCAACTAGATGGCTTAACAAACAAAAATAAAAAACAAACAAACCAAACCAAAAAAAGACAAGAAACAACTCAAAAACCCCACAGCAACAAACAAGAAAACCAACTATCACCAACAATAACAGATGCTCTTACTTTTTTCCAATCCTATCTTTAAATAAAAACTTGCTATCTGCCAACAGTTCATTAAAAAATTGTAGAGCACTTAACAACACATCTGACTTAAAACCTTTTCAGTGAATAGGTTCAGTAGGAATTTCAGTGCTTCTCTTAATTGTGTTCAGTACTCTAAATAACATGCAATAATGCTTCCATATTCTGAATAAATCTCTTTCCACAGAGTGGTTCCTTTAAAATAGATCATATCTCTAGAATTTCCGTATTAGATACACTAGAACTAATACATTTATCTGCTGCTTTGCTGACCTGTCTCCTTAGTCTTTTTGTTTGCTCTTTTAATTTGGGCAGACTACACAGCAATTTACAGTTTAAGTGAGACATACAAGAGATTCCCATAGTGATCTTTTAAGTTTTCTTCAGTTCATCCTTCGACAAGTTTATAGTATAGATGGTCCTGAACTCTTATACCTGTTTTCTGTTTTTAAACCATGAGTTCTTCTTGCCGATCTGAGACTGTCTTCAATTTGCCAATATCAAATTTTGCATATCACCATTCTGTTATTTATCTTAAATCTTGCTATTCTTTGCCATTTCCAGGTGCCTTTTGTAGTCTTGAATAAGTAAAACTGTATACTGGTACCTTCTGTGATTATGTAATTTCATAAAAAGCAACCACTTCATATAGAACTTCAAATGCTATTTTGAGAAATGAACAGTTATGCTTAGCTAAGGTTTCTTAGGAACAAATAAGCAAAAACAACAAATGTGATGCACAAGAAAGGAAAGTAAAGGAAATTGTTTCTCCTTCCTTTTCACTCCATGACTAAAGATATCAAGAAACAAACTCTTTAAACATAAAACACTACAGTGACTACATGTAACAATCAACGTCACCTTCAGAATATCACCAAGCTTATTTTCCAACACGCTCTTAGATGGAATGTTCCATCTCCACTTTCTAGATAGACCTCAAGTACATCAGGCAACTGCAAGTTCTTTTCGCCTGCCTCTCATCTTCTTAACCTCATTCACCTTGACATACAAATGGAACAAATCAAAAATACAATACAAAATTATTGTTACCTTAATCGGGGCAGCAATTTCTTCTACTTGATGAATTTTTTCTTTCACTTCTTCTAATTTTTTTTCAGCTGCTTGGAGAATATTTTTCCGTTCTTCCATTTCTCTGCTTTGTAGCTGCATGTCTTGTTTTACACTCTCCATCCTACTCTTATTTTCTTCAGCTTCTTCTTGCTGTCAAAATGTATTAAAGTTAAGAATAATAAAAGGAGACACATTTGTAAACTACTGTACCAGATTTTTATTTTACTATCAGTATTAAAGTACAGTATTACATGAAGTATTAACTCCAGTAAGAGTAGGAGCAGCTTAATGTAAAAGGAAGAGACTGACAGATCTTGTAGGAGACCACTAAATCAAACTGCAAAATAAAAGTGGAATTTCATATTTATGTGACTGAAAATTAAGAGGATTTTATTTGGGAGTCGTGATGAAAAGACTGAGAAGAACAAGGTAATTTCAACTTCCCTCTGGATCTGTGGTCAATATACATCCAATATACAGTGCAATGCAGGAAGAGTAAGTGGATTGTTGTTATCTCCTACAAACTAACACTGTTCCTAATGAATTATCATCATAAATACTTTTTCATTCAAAAAGACAAATATTGCAAAACCCGAGGGGAAAAAATAAATCAAATCACTCAATTTACAGAAATATTTAAATTATGGCAAGTGTTATGTTCTTCACTATCCAACTTTGCTTATTTCAAAACACTGCCAACATTAAAAGACATTATTCATGTGTTGATTAGACATAATTAAATAATCTATTCTTACTAATATATGGATGTCCGCTGACTGGTGCTCTTCCACGTTTTCAAGATCTGCTATCTCTGCTTTTGCTGTTCGTACTTTTACCTGAGAAGATAAAGAAAATACATGCTCTGGAGCTCAACTAAAGAGAAAAGTTCACATTTGTTCATTTAAGTCATCACAGGAAAGAAGATCCTTGCATTTTTTAGTTTCATTAGTGACTAACAAGAGACACAACTCTTCACACTCACCTGTGGAATTAATTGCCATGAGATATAACTTGTTCTGAAACTCATGCACTTTAATTCATTAAAAGTTATCAGATTTCCATTCAGTTGGACAATTGAATAAAATACTTTTTTTTCTCTCCAAGTATTTATCTTTAGTATTTCAGACCATATGCCTGGGTTTTTGCTGCTTCTTACTTATAATTTACTGAATATAACCTTACATAGTATCTATTAGTTTACTCTGCCTATCTGGAGCACCATTGGCCACCACAAATATATATCCTACCTAGAAGTACCAGAGACCACAGAAAGGAGGCTAACAGCTGTAAAATGGTTTATAAATAAATTAAAATGAAGAAAACTTAAAGAAGAAATATTCAGCATATCAAGATGGGTTAAGAATATACCAGAAGAGCATGAAGATAAACAAGATGCTAGGAATGTACAAGGCTCAACAGAAATAAAGGAGGGAAAAGCATTATATGATGGAAATGTCTTTGTAACAACTTACTACTAGTGTCAAAAAAAGCAGTAGAAATTTGCAAGACTTAACACAAGGGTGGGGAAAGACACCAAACAGAAACAGGAGCATATGCTAGGATTCATGTGGCTTCTATCATTCTGTCCTCATAAGAGCATACGACAAAAATAAAAACCATGAAAGCAAACAACAAAAGTAAGAAGAAAAATTAAAAACTATTAGGGACTCCAAATAGATTGCAGAAGTCAAAATGAAATAGGGGAAGACTAAGGAGTTTCTAAAACCCAACACGGTACCTATTTTTACCTGTAGCTGTTTTTGGTGTCTCCGATGACCATGGAGATGATCTTCATTCTGCCTAATTTCATTTTCAATGGAATGTAAGCGTTGCTGAGATGTTGTCAACTGTGCCCTTTTATTTTCAATTTCTTTATCCAAGTGACTTTATAAACAAAGTGATATTGAGATGTTACATACTACACAGATATTATTTGAGACACACACATACAGAAATACACAAATAAAAATTACTTGCATGAAAAGACAAAGGGTAAAAATGCGCTCCTTTTTAACTAGACTACATCACTCCCCATAGCAAAATTGGTAACAGAATGCCTGTAATACTTTGAAAGTTAAGATACTCTCTGAGAGAAATTCATTACATACTGATACGAACAAACTACAGTTAACTGACATATTTAAAACTTTTGAGTTTGTAGAAATAAATTTTAACATTCAATTCAGTTTACACCATCAGCTATGAATACTAAAATTACCTAATATGTCTCTAATAAAATCTGAGCCTCAAAATTAAAGTATGCTATTGTCATGAATTTCCTTGGTGACAGTTCAAGTTTGCAATCTTTGAAGTACATTTCACTTTTTCAACTACCATTTTGAAAGCAATGAGAGAAAAAAACCCTAAAAATGTAATAGGTGAGGGAATTCTCAGAGATATCTACCATGAATGAAGTCAAAGGCCTGAGGAAACACAGATGCAAAGTTTGAAACCAGTAGGAGGATGTGCGCTAACAACTTTGGTTTGAATAGTCAGATCTCCCTTGCAGTAAGCTATAACACCACTGTTCAAATATTGTATTTTTAAAGAAAAAACTTATGACTCCATACTCTTTTTGACCAAGCATAAAAAAGAAGATAGCTAGATTTCCTGGAGTATTGAGCACTGAAAATCCCTACTTGGTGGGCAAGACCTTCATGCCACAAGCTAAAGATAACTAGGTACAAGACAAGTTGTCCCTATCACAGAAAGACACTGATTTTCTAGAATTCTCAAAAAAGGAAGTGTAAATCTCAGAAAGAAAATGGAGACACTAGAGAGTAGTGTACATGCAAACAGACAAATATGCAATTCCACTATTCATGCCAACGAGTGCACTTTTTACAAACACGTTACAAGATGCTAACCTGATTTCTGCTTCAAGATCTTGACTTAGGAACTTGGGTCTGACAAAATTGGAAGAGTAATACCGTCGTTCAAATACCTGATCACCTTCAGCAGTGAAAGCTTCTTTACAGTTTTTTGGGGGCCGATTGCACTGCATTACTTCACGAGCCCTACGGTTATTCTGAAAAATAAAATGGCCTTATAATACCAGCAGAAAATCAACCATAATTAAAGATAAGAATTTAAAAGTTGTCTAGATATTTTCACCCAGAAATAATTTCAATTCTCAATGAAAAGAAATACAGTAATTAAAGAATGTGAAAATTATCTGTAATGACAATAATCTACTTTTCTTAGTTGAGTAAGACATTTATGTTCTCAAGAACCCACTAAGTTTAATTGGCCATTTATTTGTGAATTCTGTAGTCTAATCAGTCCCTTATAATTCTCCTTAGGGAAAAAAAATCATTAACCAGAAGGTCACTATGCACAGATATACTCGAATGTTAAAAGTAGAATAAACAAAGGAAACAAGCTTCCAAAGCAAGGTATGAAGGACATCAAACAACATTGAATTGAAATTCAGGGAGACATGTTAGTAAAAAAACCCAACACTGGCAGTGCCAGACTAAGTGGTCACAAGTGCCTTTGTCCAAGAAAACCATGTTATCCATTCTGATGTATCCTATTTTATACAGAAAACTTCTTTCAGATTCAGCTGAAATTGTTCAGGTAGGGTTCAAATATAATGATGTTAAGAAAATCCCTGGTTAGTTCAGGCAGAGGGGGAAGAACAATTCCAACATTCCTGCCATGAGAAAAGCCTACAAGGTTCAGATGTTATGTAACCCACTCAGTGACAGCCAAGCTTGATAAACAGTCAGCTTTGCTTCAGACAGAGCATGAACTGCCTCTTTCTAGTAAGAATGTCAGAGGATAAACTGGACAAGAGATTTCGGAGAAAAATAAAAT